GCAGTGACTCCTGCCTTTTTCCATCTTGACACTGACTTGGAAATTATGATTCAGACAAGAGCTAGCTATAGATTTGGGGATGGTGAAAGAAGCCATTCTTTAGAGTACACTCAAACTTAGATCACCAACTGTGTATTTAAAAAGTGCTTGCATGTGTGAACAATCTTGCAAGTATCTTCAGAACAGGAGAAACAAAGGGCACTAAACTACAGCAGACTGAAGAGATGCACTGTCCATTTTAAAGAGCTGCCTGCCTTGGAAACTGCTTCCCCATCTATACAATGGAGACAAGGCAGAGGTTATGATTTGACTAAAGAAAACAGCCTTTACTGATATAGCCTGCTGTGTTGTTCTGCCACCATGAACCATGGGCATGCTTGCAACTCAGTAGATAAGTCTGTTCATTGTGATGCCATTACCGGCAAACATGTGGAAGTATCCTTGGGTGGGGAAGAAAATCCAAATGAGTCATCTCCCCCATGCAGAAGAGGCCTAAACTATATAATTATATTACATTTACTACAATCTTACTCAAATGAGATTACTAGCTGGATGCAAGGGGAAAGGTGGGCTGTCACAGACAGACATTTTTCATATTTCTGGAAATAATCACAGCACTGTCTTAGTTTTTCATAACCCAGAGGATTTGAGATCTGAAGGTACTATCTGTGTAATGCTAGGATAAAGGCCAGCAGTGATGAGGCCATGGTAAGCAATGCCTATCTAACACAAGCTTATGAAGCACACGTTTGGACCTTTCGTCAGCCACCCCACCCTCCCTGCCTTCCTCCAAAAAGGCCAGAAACATCAGAGAAAGCTAATCACCAAAGCTGAACTTCAACAGCCCTGTGATGTACAATCTTGCCCTTGATCTCAGATTTTCTTCTTGGCTTTCCAGTCACACATTTATAAAGTATAGATGAAGCTTACTGAGAAGAGGAGAAACAAGTATAAAGCTTAGTAGCAGAGATCAGACTGCACTTCCAAGAAGAAAGAAGGCTCAAGGAGTTGAGGTGGCTGAAAGATGCAGAAGGAAAGCTCTGACCTAGTAAAAACAACAGCAGCAAAGCCTTCAGAAAGGGTAGTAACTTTTATTTGATGAGCTGATACAGTTGAAGAAAAAAAAAGGACAGATTTTTGAGTCCAAGATAAACCTGAAGACATGATTGCGTGTCTAAAAGTCTACCCATATTTTTCCCCAACTGTTATTAGTCAGTCAAAAAATATTCCCACCCCAGCAAAACCCTCCTTCTCTTAGAACCTAATGCTACTTACTCGCAGACCAAGGCAGACAAGCAGTAGGATACACCTCTACAAATACAAACTGTTCTAAGTGAAAACAAAGGGAGGTCTGAATACCAGCTACATTACTAAATTAAACACTCTGGTATTCTGAAGACCACCCTCCTAAAAGAACCAAAATGTCCCAGATTCCTCCTTTTGAGGCTGGGGTGCCAGAGGGGAAGAAGAGAGAAGACCTGTTTTGGAAGAATTGTTTGAAAGATTCCTGGAAAGTTCAGATTCTCTCTTCTTTTGCTAGCCAGGGACACGTTGAACTCCCATCATCATCTGCATCACACACGTAACTGGTATAAAAACACGCACATGCTTGGGCAACACAGAGCTATATTGGAGGCAAGAGGGGAGAGAGAGGCCTCCGTACATTTTATAATGAGAGATTCCAGCTCTTAAGTTACAAAAGTACTTCAATCTCAAATTGTCAACAGATTGAAAAACCAGTCTGAGAACAGTTTGCACTGTGAACTCACATTATTGCTGCAGCATATAAAGTTATTTTTTAGAGCGTTAGCTTGACTTCTCTCCTAATCTATGAAGAAAGACCCTTGTTACTTTGAGATCTCTTTCTTCATACTACATCACATTGAATATCAATACTGTATTCGGATGATACCAATCAATTTCTACTAAAAAGTCTAAGATACATTTATGAAGGTGGACTTCAAATTTCCATAAAACTTGTGCTCAAAATTCCAATTCAAGCCTGAAACTGAATGAATCTGAGAAGGATGAGTTCATGAAGGAATATTGTTTATTCAGTCTCAAACAGTTTCTCCGGTTCTTTAAAAAACCCAGAACCTATTTCATTCTGCTACAACACCAGCCATCATTATTCTTCACCTAGTAGGTAACAGCAAATGTAGCAGATTACACCACCACAGCGATACTAAGTAGGAAAACAACATACGTATGCCTGCCAGAAATACCTGGAAAGCAGACCAGAACCAAGTACATCTGACAGAAGTCTGCACCACAGAATTTCAGATGCAACCTATAGGTACTGCAGCTTTTAAAGAAAATTCTTATTTGCCATCTACACACGCTTTTGCAGACCAACAAAGAGCAAAGAAGAGCAAACCACGGACCTTACTTTTGTATAGATTATTGGCCCGGACACAACCAGTTCCAGACTGCATAGAAGAGGTTAAACATCTAGAGAGTAGCTAGACATGCACCTTCACTGAGCATCTCCACTGCATGAAATTAACTCCGAGTAGGGTGTACAAAACCCTCAACTTTGAAAAATACCCATGGTGTAGTAAACACCACAAAGCAACACGGAGAACTCCCTTGTGTCAAAGAGCTTATAGCAGGGAGTGACAATGTTCTCAGCAATTCTCTCTCAAACACACTGAAAACTAGCTGCCTGGAAGTTCGTCGGCACAAAACCTCCTTAACTTCCATCTGCTGAGTACTCTGGTCATAACCAGTCCACAAAAGTAACAGCCTTCTAACTACTGTAATCTTCAGTAAATCTTTAGCTTAGAAATGGCAAAGGTTTGTGCATTTGAGGCTGAAACTTAAAGTTCAAGTCCTGCTGGCAGCTACCTGCAGCACTCTAGTTATGTACATAATTGTAACAATAAAAACATTCGTACTTTCATTTCTTCAGTCATTTCTTTTCTGCTCATTAGACAGCCAGAGTTCAGAAGTGCTTTTTCTCCCATGTTTTTCAATTCTAAGATACAGAAGCTCCAAGAGGATGCATGTGCCCGCTGCTGTGCTATCAGAAGTTATACCAATATAGCTGAGTAAGGAAGACCAATTCTACATAATACTACCACTTAAGTCTTTCACGGCTCAACATGCTCAAAACGTTGAAAGGAAAGGATCTTTATAAGTAATACATTGAAAGGATGCGTATCATTGCCAACACCATACTGGATAATCCACTTTGTTACTTTAGCATTTGTATAATAAGAAAAGTACAGATCTCATAAATGAAGTATCATGTAACCCAATTGTAATAAACGGGTTTAAATGTTATTCTACACCCATCCGATGTCAGGAAGAGATGTGTGCAGAATGACTATGTTGCAAGCACAGCTCTCCAAAACTAATTGCACCCTAATGGAGAATGCAGAATTGTTCTTCTGGCAAGCCCCTCCCAATTCTTTATAATTGACTTTATTTAAGTTGTGATCCTTTAGAACGACCAAAACCCATTCATATAAATTAAGGAAGTCTCAGTTTTTCACTGAAGCTCCCATTTGCCAGAAGATCTCTGTCATGGTCTAACAGACCATCAAGTGCATACAGATGATTCTTAAGACTATTCAAGCAGAAGATCAGTTGCATAGCTAGCTTAGATGCTTACTCTCTGTCCTACAGTAGATCTCTGCTCTCCTACTCCACTGCATATTAATTTAATCCCTTCTAATCCATCACCTTCACTGCAGGAATTCAGATGCAACCCTAGTATTCAATGCTACAAGGCTTTTGGACTTACTCTTGCAACTTCTAACATGATGCAATTTGAAACTGAAGAGATCAACTCCCAGGAATTTCATATGCCCTAGTTTTTTTCCCTGTAAACAACAGGTATTAAAAGCCTCGCTGGATTTACTGACCTCTCATATTGTTATAAATCACTTAACCAACCCACAGAAATAAACTTGGATATGGAAATGCAACCCCAGGATTACTGGGGAAAGGGAGAATTCAGGTGGTGCATAACTTTGAGAATCTATCACAAAAATAGTGACTTGCAGTCCCTGGCCTGGCATGTACCTGGTGGTTATATGGCCTGCTATCACAAAGACCCTTAATGAGCTCTAGCTAGTTTATGTAGAGTTTCTACCACCACAGAGTGTTTGGTCCAAAAGAGTCTGACCTGGACACGTGCTCAGCTAGGAATGTGACCCTTCCATGCATATACACTACTTTCTTAGCAGAAGGAAACCTGAGCCATTAAGATATGAGAAAATACTGCTACTGTATCAGTCATTTCTCAAGCTGCAAAAAGAAAACATTAACTACCCAGGCTTCAACTGCTTAAGACGCTGTATTTAACTTATTCCACACCCAAGAGGCTAATTAAATAATTGTTACCCTTTCCCAAGTCAAATATCCATCATTCCTCCACATGCGGAGGACTACTTAATTGTGTGGCAGTGTATTTGTTTTAATGCTAGCAGTTTCCTCTTCAGTCATGGAGGTTATAATATTGTCTGTATGTACTGCAATAGTGTCGCCTTGTGAAAGCTAGATAACAAGAACAGTCTTAAGAAGTAACTCCAAGAAAAGACAACCCCACTCAACAGCACACCTATAGGAGTACAAATATAACAATATCTATGAAACAACCAGTTAAGAAAGTGACTGTCAGCCCTTGTTGTCACATTATGTGATAGCATTACGTGTCACAGGTATCACTAGAATGCTTTCTCATTTGTAGGTGTCTTCTGTGCACATTAATTTATAGCATGACAGGATTTAAATATATTGCAATCTGCTATAAACACACGCACCGTTGTTAAAAAAAAACACCTGTAGGCAACCTCAAAAACCCCCAGACCAATAGATATCACAGTGCGCTGCTTCAATACCACCTTCTCCTTATCTACATCAAAAGTTACTGGGTCCTCAGCTTAAAGGCACCCAGTTTAGATTGAAAGCCACCAAGCCACTGTACAAACTGAACTCCTTGAATTTTCACTGTCGGCCCACATGTCTTTATTATTCAGTTCATATAGACTCACCTTAGACCATGGATGTGCCTTAATCTGAGGGAATTTGAATTCAGTATAGTTTGGATTCATTTCTCTAATTTGCTCCCTTGTAGGCGTTCCCAGAACCTAGAAAGGAGAGAAGGGGGGGGGGAAGGCAAATTGTTTAGATATACTTCATATTCACATAGAAACAAAGAACACAATATAACCTATTACATACTGAGACAACTTAACTGAAGTCAATCTGTGTAACTATAAGTTAATATAGCATTGAGAACAAAACAACAAAACTTTTGCAGAACCATTTAAGTTGGAAGGGACCTCTCTCTCCTGGGAACTTCTGATCCAACCCCCATGCTCAAGCAGGGAAAGCTTAGAACAGGTTGCTGAAGAGCATGTCCAGCTAGGTTATTAGCATCTCCACAGAAGGAGACTTCACAACCTGTCTGGGCAACCTGCTCCAGTCTTTGACCGCCCTCACAGTAAAAAAAGTGTTTTCTTGCATTCAAATCAATTTTACCATGTTTTACTTTGTGCCGTTGCCTCTTGCCCAGTCAGTGGGTACCACTGAGAAGTGCCTGGCTGTTTCCTCTTCGTTCCCTCCCATCAGGTATTTATACACACTGATGAGAGCCTCTTGAGTCTTCTCTGCTCCAGGCTGAACAGTTCCAGCTCTTGCAACCTCTCCTCATATGACAGATGCTCCAGTCCCTTAATCATCTTTATGGCCCTTGCTCCAACTTCAGTAGTCTCTTGCTGGCAATTCGGTTCATGCTCCAAGCCCAGTGTCAAAAATTTCACTATCTTCTACAGTTTTTCACAAAATTCAAGCATCTTTCTCAAACTCAGTGATATTTCAATGGGGAAGTGATTTCGCTCTAATTGGACTCTTATAAAACAGTACTGCCAAACACATTCAGGGATTGCAGCTCACTGCATATGGCTGATTAAGGATCAGACCAGTGGCATGGACTGCATTTTACAAGTCATGAACAGTAGCCCTCTGACAAGCTTAAAAGATCAGGCAGTTACTGCTAAGGGGAGCCAGATGGTTTTGCCTCCCCCTCTCCCACACCCCCACCAAACTTTGTGGGTTTTGGTGGTGTTTCCCCACTCCAAAACTTCCACATGTAAGATAAACTTAGTTTAAACCTAACTTGGAAGCATCTAAAATGTATACCACCCCGATTTACTTTTACGAATTTATATTTCTCATTCCCAGAATCTGTACAGTGTTATTTATACATGAAAATTAGAAGTTGTATGACAAATAACACACAATCACACATCTCTTTGTAGGGGTGGATAAATTTTGAAAGGATTCCAGAAATCCCTTCAGGGAATAAGCCAGACAGTACAGCATCAGTGCTTTCTGTTCAGTTAGCACTAAGCAGAAGAAAGCCATTGCCTTCTACCTATATATAAAAACTGCAAAGCACATTCAAAGAATCCCGTTGTCTTCTGCTTGCACCCAGTTGCTAGGTATCGTTTTGTTTTGCAGAGAGAAGTAGAGAGGACAGCAGGGAAAGGAGTTACTCCTCAGTGCTGAGCTCAGGTCCATCTTCCTATAGGAACCCTGTAGGCATGCCACTCTCGTCCCTGACAAACCTCTCTCCATACAGATTAGCATAATGTTATCACCTCATCTCATGAGACTGCACTGTCACCATTCAGGAAACAAATGATCTAAAACATGATGTCAGCACTCTACCTTACTGCTTGATAAAGAAGTATTTGGTTACATATTCTGGTATCCATGAACATTTTCATTCTGTTAGAAGAGTAGAAATTACACAAAGTGCTCTAAAGAGTCAGATAAAGGAGTAGAAGAGCAGGTATCACTGCTTAATTAATTTGTGCAACAGAGAAACTATCATCAGGTATTATGAAACGAGCTTGGTATCTCTTTATTGTTTAAAATATGAGCTGTAGGACACAAACTAAAATACCTACCCATAAAGCAATCTTAAACAAACAGCAGCAGCAGCGGAAATAAACCCTACAACTTGTTCAGACAGTTGCTTCTTGGATAAGAGATTTAAGTGACAAGTTGTACAAAACAAATGATCACGTAACTCCTACCTTCCCATCGCCAACCAGGATTTAAATCTCACCTACTCTAAAAGTCAAGGGTTACCTTCAGAACCAACAGAAGAGTTTTCTGTGTGTGTGAAAACACTGGTTTTGCTCAGGTGGTAAAAAAAAAAAAAAAAAAAAAAAAAAGACCGTTTTTGCAGGATTCCGTACATTTTACTCAACTTTCAAAGGAAAAAAGGGTTGACAGGAAAACATGCCCTTTCCCTGCTGGTTTTCTGTCTGGCTCCCCCAGAGCACCGGCCATCCAGCTGCCAGCCTGCCAGGATGGCGCCACTCTCAAAGCTTTCCAATTCTAATAGATGAGGGCATTTTACACCTGCAAAATATTTTTTCCATTCCTATTCAAGATAAAAGCCATTTTCAAAACCTCAGAAGTTTTTGCATTAGTTAAATTAATTTCCTGAAAAATTACTGATAACTTGTACTGCTATCCCACCTTTTCCAAAGGCTAAGTTTTCAGGCCTCCCTAGTATAAACAGAACTCATTTAAAATACACATCTACCTTCTTTCCCCTTCTCCCCCTCAAAAAATTCATTTAATAGCCTTCCTTAGAAGGGACAAAGACTAGGGTTTTTTTTATATAGCCAAAATTCAGGAAACTGGCTCAGTTGCCAAGGCTGCTCAGAATAGGAGCCTACACAGTGCAAGTATCTTCATTTAAAGACTGTCTGTAGCATCAGAGAGAATTCAGATTAGATAGGCAAGGGCAACTTCATAGACAATGGACCCAGGGACAATGCCTATCCATACTTTTCACTAAGAACACAGCTGTAACTCCAGATGATGGGAGGAAGCAAGCCCTAAACTCAAGCACAGGCATTTAAGGTCTCATGAATGCTTAGAAAAGAAGGTTCTGAAGAGGGATCATGCCAGCTGAAAGAAGGGATTGCCTGACCTTTCAGTTACACAGCAGCCTTTGACACACAAAATAACCGTACAAAAGGAAAAGTGACTTATATTAGCTACTCAGAGTATTTACTTTGTTCTCTCTGGATTGTAAAGCCAGATTGTGCTTTCGATTTGTATGGAAGTCAGATTAAGGGCCCCACCCCCTGCCCAAAAAAAAAAAAGGAATGTAGATAGGAAGAATGGAAGTTTTAAAGACTGTCAAATTCAAATCACAATCCAGAAGAAAAATGTGGGATGAATAAAGTGATAAGCTATAAAATTGCACTGTTCTTGACACATCTGGAAGAGGGTCTATAGTAATTAACAGACATCTCCTCTCCCTGCCCCTGCAACACACCATTTGCTATATGATTTTTAAATTGTACCTCACTGATTTACACTGAGTTTTCAGTATATTAGAAATACACGCCAAGGTTACTTGAATGTAACAACAATCTTTTAAGCTATTGCAAAAATTAGGCAAACCTATTCTTTTAAAAGAGTCATGTATGTGACTGCTCTTTTGGTTTGAAATGCAAAAAAACCAGCACAAATTATTTTGCACATTTTTGGCAGAATTACTCCATGAAACAGCTGCTCTTGCTATATTAACTCTGAAAATACTATGGAGCAGATGTTCCTTGGAGAGAGGTTTCACAGAATGGTTGAGGTTGGAAGGGAAGGGTCATTTGGTCCACACACCCCTACACAACAGCACCGGTGAAAACCAGTTGCCCAAGACCATGTCCAGATGGCTTCTGAATGTCTCGGGGATGGAGACTCCATCATCTCTCTGGACAACATGTTCCAGTGTCTGACCACCCTCACAGTAAAAACTGCTTTCTTGTGCTCAGACTGAATTTCACATATTTTGCATTTGTGTCCATTGCCTCTTGTCCTGTCACAGGATGCCACAGGAAAGAGCCTGGCTCCCTCTTCTTTGCATCCTCCCTTCAGATACTTCTATACACTGCTAAGATCTCCCCAATCTTGCAAAGGTCAGAGAACTTTTAAGAAATACAGGGTCCAATATTGAATTATTCAGGTCTATGCAGATTGGCATACACTATTCTACTTCTTGGGGACAGTCTGAAGAAAGATGATATTGTCAAGGAAAAAGTTAATTTATTTTTTTATTGGGCACTTTTTTTTTAAAGCTATAACCAAAACAAAGCAGGTACTAGAATAGTAAAGTTGATTCCATCAGAAAACTACATCTGGAATGAAGATTAAACTTTTGAATGAATGAAGGGTCTATGTGAGACTACAAGGGATCCTGTAAGTGCAGGCAACAGGTCAACTAGTCTTGCTCTTCATTCCTGATTATCATCACCATCTCTTAAATAAAAATAAATAAAAAGAAACATTATCTACTAAGATTAACTGAAGAATGCACTTGCTGAGAAGACAGATACTGCTCTGATTCTCTTAGAACAAAAATTGAACACAACAGGTTTCACAAGTATTTTCTGAAAAGTTTTTCCTTGACATTAATTTGTAATAGATGAAGCTCCCCAAAAAATCTTTATTCCAGAACACAGTTTGTGAAGGTCGGGTAATGGTATGTATCTCAAGCAATTAAAGAAAAGCTATAGGCTCTCGATAATATCATCCTTAACAAACACGAGGAGGAGATTTCTGAACCTGGAATATGCTCTACATTTGATTTACAAATAGCATAAAGATCTTAATTTTATATTCTTGGAACCAAATTTTCATAGGAGAAAGAGATAGATGATATGCAGCTCCAAAAGACACCTTAGTTACACCCCAACACTGAAGATAGTGGCTGTCCACGCCTGGCTTCAAGGTGCAAAACTGTGCAGAGTTATTTACGACCAAACCCATACCACCAGAGGAAGAGGAAACTGCAAGGATCTCAAACAAACCTCAGTGGAATTAAAGCTCTTTCTGAGAGTCATCATTACTGCTAAACCTTTGCCAAAATGTGAAAAATCAGTCAAAAAGCATAGGGACACTGAGGGTTCAGAAGCTCTGGCTGGTGATGACTGAACTGGAGGGGGAGGAAGGTGGTTGTTTAAATCAGAAACCTCTAGAAAGCCACGATTACAGCGGTGTAGGGTCTTCCCCAGGAAAACTGTGCAAGTTTGCAAGGAAAAGTGCTCCAAAAAGTCTGCTG